ATTATTATTATTATTATTATTATTATTATTATTATTAACATCCTTTATTTATCATAACAGTTTTCTGCTTTTTTGTATCCATGATTCGAATGTCTTACTCAGTCCAGTCTATTAGCCCAAATTGTACTTGTCTACAGGCATCGCCAAAGTACCTATTACAGATATTTTACTCTTGGAGTTCAGAGAGAACTACAAAACAAGTCTCTCTCAGCTGTAATTCTTCTTGCAAATTCTCGCCTTTAATATCTAGCTCAAGATGTTCTCACATTCTTCAATATCCATATATTTGTAAGTTTTATCTGGCTGAAGATCTTGAATCACAGTATGCACATCACCTTCAGTGTTCTCTAAAGTTACTTTGCCTCTCTTTAAATTGACGGTTGCACATTTGTTAAGACCGAATGTCGTGCAAATGACGTTGCTAAAACCATTGACGACAGACAGGATTTGGATAAGAATCGCTTCATTCTTAGTAGCATAAGCAGGTGGAGCTTGTTAATATTAGATATAGGGACATTAACTTTCGTTAGATATTAAGATAAATTAGAACAGAAGATTCCCGGTAGACATCGAGAATCTTTATGGGAAATTCTTAACATCGGCAGCACGCAGTCGACGAGTACAACTCCTTCACAAAGCGTCGTGAGAAACCGCGTACAAGCAAATGTAACAATTCTTTGCAAAACGAATATTAAAAGTACATTCAAAAGATCTTTAATATATAAAAGGAAGAATATTTGCTTCTAATAGCACGCCAATGCGATTTTATTTCATAAATTAAAAGTTTGAAAACAAAAAAAATGAAGTTAGTATTAATAAACGACGTTAGTAATAATAACTGTGTTATTGAAAAATAAGGCCGATTTATTTAATAGATAGATCCGCAGACCTATCATTCATTTTTTAACAGAATAAATTTTCACAGAATACCTAACATCACTAGACAGGACGTAGGCCCACCCTACGTATTACTCAATGATACAAGAATGTGGGAGTCGGGCATTCATAAAAGTAAAATAAGAATTAAATAATGTTTTAAATATTTTCAAGGGAAAATATAAGAACGTTTAAAATTGAAAACGTTTCTGTATGGTGAAGACTTTTAGATCGTGCCGCAGTAACCATCATCCTACAAAGAAAATCTCTGGAACCATAAAATGAAATACCAAATTACCTGCAGGAAAGTCCACCATTGGACTGTTTGCCACGATCAGCGATTCCAGCAGTGGCAAGTTGTTGAAAGTCGGTATGGGACCGTTGAGGTCTGTCCCGAATGAGCCGATAAGTTCAATGAAAGCCAATGAGCTGCCCGCCAGCCCGGGCAGAGCAGTCGGGTAGTGCTCTTCAGACGCAGCCTCCGCGCTGAAGGAGCGAAGCCAGCCCAGCTCGGCGCGAAACAGGGGCGAGGAGAAGTCCCAGAACAGAGGGTCGTCGGGCGAGTGGGAGAACGGCGGCGAGCCCAGCACGTCCGCCCGGATGGCAGCTTGGAACACACCGTAGCTGCGGAGAAGGCAGGCGTTTAAGGTTGAACGAACGTTTTTGTACCCGAACGCCTCAACCGCTAGGGTCACTAGTCCCGTAAGTGTAGTGCTTACTATATACCATGAGATGGGAATGATCCTCCCACGTTGGTATGTGATAACCGCCACCTACTTATACCTCAGATTCGGATACCACCTTCTTATACGTCGGATATCCCTCCTCAGCGCCCCCCTCTCCTTGCAGGGACGTGCTCTAAGATCCCGACTGGTGTTCCGACATGTGTGGTAGTGTAGTGAATATTAATGCACTTGTAAGGTACTTGTAGATGAGGAAAGAAAGATCGCTTACGGACCGTGGCCCGTTTGGTAGGGTACTACTTCGGGTTTCGCCAGATATTGAGAGAATTCGCCGGTACTGAACTGATACCGATATGAAAAACTACCAGTCAGAGCCGCCAATCTCTAAACGTCTGCTCAAGACCGTGGCTAACTTCGACGTAACTATCTAGCTAGTACTAAAGATCCACCAGCGCTGGACTCTAGTCCTAGAACCTCTCGGTATATGACTCTGCAGCAGCAACAGTTGTTGATTTGTTTGAATTAATATTTTTATAGTTGCTACCTTGAAATATTCATATAAAAGATACTAGTATTTTCATAAATTAGTGGTGCTACAAAAAGGCAGAAACTTTTTCGTTCTAGTTTTTTTGTCATTGGTATGGGTCTGGATTTTGTTTGCTGCCATCTTTCCAGCCGGTCTAAACAAATTTTTTACAAAATTTTCACAGTTTTTCGGTTTCTTAATTGCAGAACCGAAATATCACTTCAATAATATTAAAGAAGTAAATATTCGTCCAATAACGAACATTTTTGTTGAAAGCTTTGGAGACGCTATTAAGAAAATTGTTTGAGTGTTACTGTAAATGCAAAATTTAAAGCTCTTCTTCACAGGAATTTTTTTAGTTTTTGAAAAACTTTATTGAAATAATGAGATTAATTCAAAGAATTTTGAAACCACTGTGTTGCCGTTTCGCGAAATGGCATGTCAAACGAAGTCATTGTCACAGGTTGGTAGCAAGAAATCCCGCTAAATAGTTTCATTTCTACTGCCAATCAAACTGGTCAATCTTCGTGTGTTTGTTTTTGAAAAAGTTAAAATAATATAAAACAGTAAATGAACGAATACTATTATATAATATTATAAGCAAATTTGTAGATACGACAGGTAAATTTAATTCATTTGTCCAGACAGACAGAATCGGATCCAACGGATACAGCCAGACAATTGAGGATCGATTTTTCGATATCACGAACTCTCAAAATATGGATTTAGGCTGCACCACTTGTTATATGAAGTAATTTATTATATTACAATACAGTAAAGTATTCCTTTATTATATACCGGAATATAATTTACCCAGTTTTTCTTTGCCCAGGCCCGACAATAAGAGTTTTTCTGTCGAAAATTCGTCGTTTTTCGGCGCATGATTAAAATATATGCTCGTCTCACATACGTAAGAGCGAGAAAATAAAAATCAAAGAATTTATTTCAAAATTGCAGGAACTGCAGTGGGGCCAGATCCATCAGGAAATTGTCATTTTGAATAGTTAAGGCGATGTCTAAAGACAGGCGGACACGTTTTGCCGACATCCTAGTTTTCGGTATCAAGGACTCAAAAGAACGTGGATTCGAACTACTCGTTTTAGTTTAAGAAATTAACTATATATAACAAAACCCCAAAATACGACTTTTTCAGGCGAAAATTTCCAGGTTTTCTACCATAGCATTACAGTACTTCCTCTTTACTACGTATGTACATGGTGAGGCTAGAAAGTAATAACACGACAGTGACTTTGGAGCACTCATTTCAAAATGCCAAATTCGACTTGCATCTTCGCAAACGCATTGGTCTATGATGTGAGTTCTTGACGTTGTTAAGAAATAGAAATTTTCATTTACAGTTTGCCCCGAGACAGCTGCAAAATTCGGTCTACCTCTCTCGATAGTTTCGAAAATCTGCCACTATCCCGTCCCCTCGGCCAGAATCACTGCTATTGACCTGCCCCAGTCCCATATTTGACCTAGATCTATTACAGCCGGGTTTTGGAAATGAATGAAACTCATCATCAAATGTGCCATTCCTCTGTTTTGTTGCCTGAAACTCTGTATGTATTTGTTGTCTCAAAGAATGGAATATAGTGGATCTATTAGCAAGAAAAACGCGCAATTTCAAGGGGAAAAATCCAGTTACCTAAGCATTATTCCTCGATGAACACCGTTCTCAGTTTGGTGCATCTTATCTACTATGGTAAGTTCTCTTATTTATTTATAACGTTCTCTCAAACGAAACCAATCCTCTTCGTATTGACGAAGTCATTCAAAAACTGCGCCTCTGTAAAACTTACATATGAAGTAGAAAGAATTTTATAATGCACAGTGATACGTAAAGCACTGGTGGTGCAACCTGTAATTGGTTATGGCTTATTTCCTTTACAAAAGGTAACAAAAGAATTCTGCGCAGGTCGTTCGATTGCAAATATGCAATATTATACGTTGTAGTAAAGTATGTGCTTGACGTTTGAAAGTCGTGTTTTGACGCCGACATTGACTTCCCAGGGAAAAACATTAGCAACTGCTTTCCCAGTATGTTGTAACCAATTCTTGTTGCCACCAAATCGAAATTAACAAATGAAGGGATAGAGAGTACTAACTCACTAAGCGCTTCAGCTAAGTACTTATTACACCCAATGTCAAAATTTCACCTCCCTATAACTATCTAAAAAATAGGCATTGGTCTGAAAAATATTAAAAATATAGGGCTGAAATCTGGTGATTGCCTGGGATTGCTCACAAAATCGTGTGCAGCACGCACGTTGGAAAAGGCAGAAGAACGCGGAGACGCTGTTACTGCCGAGACTCTACTGTCAAGTATAAAGAACGGTGTAATGTAGTATAGTATAACATATCATTAAATGTCAAACCATTTTACCAAATGTTCGCACTACTTCAATCCCAATTTAAGGACGTTACACGAGAACGTATTAATCAAGAAAGTTGTGGCCACCCTTCTCGATTTATTTTTCCTTTCTATCCTTACTTCGTAAGAATGCGCCGAAAATCGCTGATTTTGTATAAAACAGCGCTTATTGTCGGGCCCTGCTAACGAAAAGAGAATAAATCTTGTTCCAACGGGTAATGCATGTGTGTTTCTACATGCTACGCTGTCAGAATTCTTTCAAATTCAGTCAGCCTCCATACTGCTCCTTGTGTATATTTTGCGAATGCTTATTTCCGCCTGACATATGGCATAATAATATGGGGGAATACATCTTACATCACCCAGACTTTTAGATTACAAAAGAAATTGTACGAATAATAATCAAATCCCACCCACGTGATTCTTGTAAGCCTCTCTCTATTAATCTATGTATCTTACCATTACTTGTCTTTTGATATATAAATCAGCGGTTTTTGTTAAAAATGACTTACGGACGAGAGCGTATTTTTAGAAAACGCTGTTATCTACAACACTCGACATAGTAATCATATTCATCAGATGACAGTATCAACAGCTCACTACAAAAAATTCACATAGAATACATACACATTACTTTACAACACCTTGCCAGATGACATTAAACGATTAAATTCGATATAAAAGTTTATGTTCCAAGTAATTTTTTTTTGCTGCACAACTATTTCTATACTATTAGAGACTAAACCGAGCATCCAAAAAGAAAGTAATATTAATTTTAATAGTATTTAATTTAATAATACGTAATTTAATTAATACGTTTTCGTTACCAGTGCTATTTAGAGTACTAAAGGCCATGTACATTAAAAAAACAAGTAATTTTTACGCAATTTATTCAAGAATTAATGTAATTGTACAAAAAAAAAATTCTCAAATAAGTGCTCCTATTTTTTCTTTAATTTTTTCACGGAATAGAGCAAAGGACGCTTCAAAATGCGCACGTCTCCTTTTCGTCGACTCTATTTTCGAAGCTTTGACATTAGAAATAATGCGTTTTAGACACGTATGTTTCTTTTGTAGCTCTGCTTCTTTCTGAAATCGACTGTTACTCATGAGAAACAGTAACGTATAAGATTTTTTGCAATCTAGTTCTACATCCAATATGAGTTATACCGCAGCGTGGCCAAATTATAGTAAAAATTATATTAATTTTCTCTAAAGTATAATTAAAACTTATAGATATTTTAAAACTCTTTCAATATCTAGTAAACTACGATAAGAAATGTGGCGCTAGTCCGCAATTTCTACTATATCTCCGTTTTTTTCGAAAAATGTAAGAAAAGTTAACATTCAACTATAAAATAAAGATATAGATTTTTGCCTGAGAGAAAGACTGTTGTAAAAATCTCTAATCTTTCAAAATATGCCTGTACAATTTTTCCCAAAAAACGACAAGTTTTCGCGTAATTTGCACTTGAATTCATGCATTTTCTCAAAAACCGCTCCAATCTTGTTATTATTTTTCTACGGAGACACTTAAAAAATGTCGCAATTACATTTTTCGTTGAAAATTCTGTATTTTTGAAATTGCAAATTTATTAATAATGCGAAAATATAGCGAGGTATTTGTAGCACCACTAGCTTTTAAAATTAAAATTACCCCATTGACATTTACGTAAAAAATAGTTTTTGGGGTGTCAAAGACCCAACATAACGTAAATCTGACATACATTATGTAAGTGGAAGTATTTTAACCAGGTATTTTTAAAAGTTTTTATCTCACTATTTTGTTACTAGGCCATGCTGAGACATGTACTAGTTTTTACGAACAAATATTTATTTCGCAAGTATTTTTTCGGAATTTTTCTCTTAAAATTAATAATTTATAAAAAGACATGTTTTCTAAAAACGGCGTCAATGTTTTGTTTTCCACGGATAGAGCAAAGACTCTTAAAAACTATTTTCATTGACTTATTTTCGAAAAGTGCGAACATCAGAAACAAATCGAGAAAGTATTGTTCTGTTCACTCTACTTTTCAGAAGTCGTCCGTTTACCTCGTGAGGAGGTACGTTGAAGGTATTTTTTTTTTCATTTTGGGATTTTAATTTCTAACAGACAACCGGATGCAGTAAAGTCAAGTGGTTAATACCGTTGCAGCTCCAGCGCCGATAGACGGGAGGTCTTACAGTTCGGGTCGCAGCAGTAGTCGATTATTGACCTTAGCTACACACAACTAGATTGTTTTATCTGACAGATTAGTCGATTCGCTGAATGTTTCTTAACTGTAATATTCATTCTTTTTTTCTTCAATTCTAGAAAATGCCGATACATTTAGGCATATATTGTGCACTACATTTACACGACTAATACCTAAGTAGTTGAGCTGGCAGAATCAATAATATTCCTTACTTAAAGTAAATTTGAATAAACTAGACAGTTTACTTACAGACCACTCTCGAGTACTGCTGTCACAAATTCCAATGCGAAAGGGCCGAAATACAAAATTGTACGTGCTGCCAAGTTGAGGAGCTCTACGTTTAATATGGGCGCATCATTACACAATTTTTTTGTGTCATCATTTGAATCTTTTTTCTCGCTTCCAACCATTTCAATCCTTTTTAAAATCACCTCACTATCCACCCACGTCGCCTTTTAGAATGATGAACTTGCGTGCAATTATACTCTCTAGAGAAGTCTTCGTAAGTACAGTTTACGGGAAGAGTTATGAGATGGGCAGCTGCAGTTTCTTTGCATGTCAGCATTGGCAAACGTCCACCGTCACATACAGACAGGGTGGACAAACGCTGCCCGTAAGAAACGAAAACTTATCTTGCTCATAGTTCGTTGGTGACATTCAATTATGTTTTTGGTTAACAATCTTATTTCAGTAATTAATGAAGCAACACGTTATTTCTCTGTTTTGTAATTAATTCTAATATAATTTCCATTTGTTATTATTCTGATTATTCTCACATTTTCGGTATAAATGCTGTGAACGATTATTTCTGATATGAATCTGGCGTAAGACATGCGCTAGTTTATTAGTGCTTGTTAGTTTATTTTAATTACTTGCAACAAAAACATAGAAAAGTGTTTGTTAATAACTCGTTAATATTTAAAAAGGAATCTGTAAACTAGTAATTATTTTTCTTACTTTTCAAAACACTAATGGAAACAATTAATTTCTTTCTCATTAATTCAATTCTTAAAAATGGATCAATTGCCTCCAGTTCTTTTTCTTGCCAAATTACAACACAATCTCAAATTCACACTTTTATAACTACCTGCAAACTCACTTGTAAAAGTATTACAGAAAAATCACACACATCTGTACCCTACAGTTGATCCTGAACAAATGTTTCTGTATGTATTTTTTTAGCAGTTGGTTAGACAACTGACATCATCTCTTCGTCTGTCGTGTTTTTTCCTTATCCCCCTTCCACATGTTTCCGGTGAGTAGTCTCGAGGAAGCCACGCGGATGATAATACTTGTTGACTTGTGCTCTCCAACCGGTTCTTCATCCAAACTCTCACTTATGCTTTTAATTGGAGAGAAGATATAACTATTTGTTTATCATGGTATATTTCCGGTAAAGATTAACTGGAGCGGTCAAGATAACGCCAGGTATGACGGTAAACTGCCATATACCTATTATGCGTTTAAATATATGAATTGGGAAAACCATCAAATTCCATTAAAAAATTTTACGAAGTAAAAGTAAATGTGAACGAAAACTGGAAAAAGTCACTTTTCTTCAAACGAACTTAGTTTGGGACCTGCCGTTATTATTCTGAGTTCCTGAACTCATGGATGGAGATAGAATGTTTTATTAAAATGTCCTATTCAATTACAAACTAAAAGATTTGATTTTCCTAGAAGCAAAAACCTTATACTAACGTTCTCTATACTACGTATATTACTCCCTATATACGTACGCATACAGGTAAAACAGCGATATTTCAAAAGAAAAACTTTAATTGTCGAGCGTTTTAACGTTAAAGCGGACAAATCTTTATTACTGTACTCTATGTAGTAAAGAACTTTCTCTAACACGTTAATGGACTCTTACGTTGACGTTTCCATTGTCATTCAGCACCACTCGAACGGAATTGATGTGACAGTTCGTAAGGGACTCAATTTTCGAAAATTTCGAAAGTTTGAATTTCCTACTACTAAAAAAATAAAAAGAGATTTTTTCTTCAAATAAAATTTGTTTTCAATCATTTCCTATTTCATTAAGGTCATATACATTTTTGAAATTTTAATAGTTTTCGCGCAATATTGCTTACAATTCGAGAAATTTTTAAAAACTACAAAAACAAGACTTTTTCAAAAACCACTCGAAATTTTTTCTTTAAATTTTTGATAAGATAGTACTAAATGTCCACAGAGATAGCATAAGATGACAAACACCACATTGCGCTATTCTTTATTTCTTCATAAATTTCAAAAATGTTTCAAAAATTACAAAAAATCAATATGAAAAGGAATTTTTTTAACTTGTCTCTCCCATTGTTAATATTTATATGAGCGGGAAATAGTTCACATATTTTTGAGTACATGTGCTTTTAAATATTATCATACAAAGCTTCTAGAAAACTACCATTTTCTGTCAAAGCTAGCAAAACATTTCATAATTTCAGAAAGTTGGGTGACAGCAATCCTCGAGCCAGTAAATATCATTCCCTAACATACGTAGGAGTGAATTGCTCTGTTTGGAACGGCTTTCCATCTAAAGCATCCATATCGCATTTGGTGGAAGCAGTGACGAGGCTTTAGAAGGTGCATTTAAAGACCACTCAGAAGTTGGCATTATTTTATTCCTACATAATGTAACATTACCTCTACCAATTGGTTTTATCGACTATCTATGGCGATGCTCAGGAAATCCGACGGTCAAATCAGAGTGGCAGTCAGTTTCTACATCTGCATATTAGTATTGCAGATGGCTTATTCTACCTGGCCAAGAGATGGAAGACAGACTGCTGTGGCTCTGCCCAACACGTTCCCAGGGCAGCGCTAAACCTAGGGTCTCGATTAAAAAAATCTGAAGATCGTATTTACAGATGTCCAGGCTCCTGTCCGAGTTTCTATGAACGTACATTAAAGACGCAGAAACACTGATACCTACACCAAACAAGATTTAGGATAAATGCGCCGATCATGGGGTAGCCGCCTGGGTAAAGCTGGGATCTCAAGAGAGAGGTAGAGGATCTTATAAATGATTGGATTAGAAATTCGTTTTTGAAAGATTATAATTTTCTGAATCCTGGTCTTTTAAGCAACGCACTCCAATTGATATCAAATACTGCTGCCAGAAAATCAACTCTTAGTCGAGGAAGGCCCAAAGAATTTATACTGAGAGTAGACTGAGAGTAGATAGAGAGAGAGCATTACGCAGACTGGCAAATATTAATATTTATTTATTAACGAAACAAGTGTTGTTACAACAAGTGTCGTTAAAATGACTCCGTGTGTGTTTTCAACAACATAGAGAACTTTTCTCAGAAACTGTTCGAAAGGCACTACTATACGCAGATTACAATGAGAGAGTAGCGAAGAATCTTTCGATAGGTAGTAAGGCATATCTGCACAAAAAAACGGCGTTTGAGAAATATTACGGATTCCATCCTTTGGACTGAAATTCACTGTCAAATTAATGAAGTTCACTGGAAATTACGGAAAATTCACGGGCAATCAGTGATTTTCAGCAATAAAAGTAAATTGAAGATATTCGGATAAGATGGACGTGTGGAGGGAGGTAAGTGCTGCGTAATTGTATGTCTGCGTCAGATGTCAGGAAACTCCATTTTATCGATTCCAAAGTTGACAAATTTGGATATTTAATAATTTTAGAATGTAATGAAGTGCAGTTAATCTCGGACTGGAATCGACATATTACTTTCAGCTGGACAGAGCGCTTATCCTTACAGCGCATATTGTGAAGTTATGGCTGTTATACAATGTACCAAAGCGACTTGAAACTGACACAATCACCCGTACTCAATCTATTGACTACTCATCTATTCAGAAATGTTGGTGGGAATTGGAAACGCATGGGCAGAAGAAATGTTTTGAATAAAAACGAGCTCAATATGGTTCTCTCTGAAGATTAGAAGATAATCGCGCCTGAATATTAAAGAAAGCGTGTAAGATCCATGTCAGCATGACTGGAGAATGTTATTTGGGCTAAAGGTTGCTGCTCAAAATTTTCACTTACTATTTTTCGTTTTTCGCGTCGAAAATTTTCAGTGTACAGCATTCATTTAGTAGTTAATTGCATATGATATGCATTAGAAGAAGTTTTATTTATTATTTATTTAGGTTTTTCAGAATATTTTTGTGATTTGCATAGCACCTGCATTAATTTTTTACCCCACTATTTGGCAATAAATATTTCTTCTCTGCCATTTTGTAGTTTCTTACATAGTGCACGTACAATTTTAAGAGCCACTGTATATCACGAAACGTTATTTTAATTCATATCCAAAAAGATGTGTAGTCTGTATAAAAATATGGTTGCCGTTTTTGCCAAATGAAGGTTAAGCAAGACGTATTCACGTATTCAAGTCGATTATGAAAGCAAACTGTAAATGGCAATAATGCGAATGAAACATTTATCACAGACACGAGAGTCAACATAACTGTGTGTTGGGAAACCTTAGACTACGTAGAACAATTACGGAAACCGTACTTTTAAAATATTGTAAAATGAGCCTTGTTTTAAGTTATTGGCTAATTAAATTTAGTAATTAAACGAGACTTTACTAAATATAAATGAATGTTTTCAAGTTATACCTTTATAATAAAGAAGGTAATCGTAAAGCAGAATAAATTCTAGCAATTTCAATTCATAATAACTTCTACCTGAGAAAAATCCTTTGTTACGTTGCCCAAAAACGTCCGTGTGGTACGACATGAGCACATAAAACGTTACTGAAAACTACTAGGAATGTGTGAATACCCCAAATAACATTTTATTTCAATCGAGTTTTCCATTTCTGTACATTAATTTGCGCTAATTCAATAATATAACAACACTGCAATACTTTTGTGTCAAAAGAAATATTTTTTAATTGTAGAAAAAAATTAAATTTAACATCGGTAGAATCGCATAATTCATTTTTTCCATATATTACAAAAACTTTCCTGGCGCACAAAATCTGTATCCTCTTCACATAAACAAATTGGATCACGAACTTGGATCGAAGACTCATACAAACATACCCAATGTTTCCGCGTGGAAGTCTCTTCGTCTGACCAGCCCGCACAGCGCCAAGGATGGGGGGACGTAGCTTGTGGAGACGCGAGTAACGTAGCCTTGGAAGCAAGGTGACAAGGAATGTTTACGCACCCAGTAAACCCACGAGCCCCTGGCAGAGGCACAGCTTGTAATGCAAGATCGTAATGCAAGTAGTGCAATTTAATGTTAACTTGGGGGTGTGTATGGTTTGTCCTATTATTAGTAAAAAATTCTTAGTTTGGGAAGTTTTCCAACAAAATTTGTTCATATCAGATTAAGTTTTCGATCATTGTCTCCCCATTATTAATAGAAAAGTATTTATCTGCGCGTTTACTTAAAGATGCCTGAATAAACAGTTATGGTAATTATGCAAGCATGGAAATGGTTAAGTAAAGGTCTAATGCTACACACGCAGAGTGGAAAGATCTGATCCAGCATAAATTTACCGGCACTACTGACAAAAAATTGCTCATCAAGTGTTGATAACTGCATTATTTAAATGTACACGACATGATACCTCTGTCATCTTACATATCATGGAATTACGACTAAGTATGTAGGTATATAATACATTGAAATTTAAGAGCCTAAAAAGTTTTTACCATAGTATAACATTGTATCGATTGAGACAGCTTTTCCAGGATCTGTTGCGTACACATAACTGAAAATATTTGCAGAAAAAAGCCGTAAGAACTAAAGATCTAGTATTTGTGAATAACAATTCATTCTACTGTCATACAATGCCAATGATACAATTTTATTTGAAAACAAGAATATTAGAGCAGATATGTGTCCAAGGTCTGAAGTAATTCAGAGGGAAAGTCAACTTCGTTTCTTCTCTCATTATTCGATATAGTTATGGCGGTCATCGGATATAGGCCAAGAAAGGGCATAGTGTTACACAGTAGTTACGTAATTCAAATTACAGAAAGTTGTAGCCTATCTCGCGCAAAGATATCGCATGGCAATTTCGTAAGGAAAAATTTAATAGATTTGGTTATTGAAGATTCCTGAACCCTCACGTTAACTCACGCACGTGCATATCGGACAAATCAATATCGAGGACATTATTCTGTTGGCGTTTGTTGGAATTTGCAACCGAGGACGTAATACGCCTTTAATGCTTGCTTTACCTTGCAC